TTTTAGAAAATAAAACCATTGAACTACATTCACCAGACGGTGTACATTGTTGTATATTAAGAACTCAAGAAGCAAGTGAAGCTACTTGTTGGTTTAATACTCTTCATGGTGCTTTAAATGTTCTATCTTTAAAAGCATTGCACGATGCGAACAAAATATTAGCAAACATAATGCCTGTGCTTGGTCAACTTCATCATATTGGATGGTTATTTAGGGTAAATAGAAATGAGGTTGGTTTATTTTATTTTTATTATTTTTCTAGTTATATTGAAATAATTAAATGCTAGTTGTAGTTCCAATTTAAATCTTTTTATTTTTATTTAAAACGATCTAAAAAAATATTACAATAAACAAATATGAAAGTTTACAATGAAAAGCATGATAGAAAATCACTCATTGTGAACACCTGAATTATGTTAATATATATTTATACCAATTACACTTCAGTCTGTATGTCGGGTTTGTATTTTAGAAGAGTAATTTAGGAAATGAGTGAATTACTATGCTTATTTAAATTTTGGTGAAAACGTTTGTATTTTATGTCATTATTTGAGTAACTATATAACTTGTTATAGTTGTAGTACGAGGTTTGAAACAAACCATAGTGCGTGCATTAGTGCAACGGATTGAAATGCCTGAATAGACCTAATGTTTGTAGGGACGTCAGTACCTCAGATAGCGGATAGCCAAATCGATATCATAATTAATTTGTGTATTATTATACCGTTTTAATGTGGTATCTTGGAATTGAGCAGGGAACTGAAGAGGTGTAATCTATTAGCAGATTTTCTTTTTCCTTCAGATGAGTACCCCAAGTTTGTCATTTATCTGAAGTTATTTTATCTCAATTCTGACAGTGATTGGGATGTAGTTTATATTAAGTTGGGGAGGAGGGATGATTTGTAAATCAAAGGTAACTTGTGTTGTTTTTTAAATATTCATTTTGATTCTCCATTATTTAGCCCAAGTGTCAATTTTATTTGCTTGGTCCTCAAGTAAATTGGTGACTAAATTGGGATTTGCACTACTGATGAAAACAGTGGTATCATCACCATGTATAGCAAGAAGGATATCAGTAGATTGAGGGATATCAGCAGTAAAAATATTATAAAGGTCAAGAAAAAGAAAGTTGCTTTGGGGAACCTTTGGTGTCTTTAAATTGATTAAGTTGGTGGATTGTTGAATTCCTATTTTTAAAATCAAACTAATTGTTCGGTATTATATGTGTTACCTATTGCGCCGTATTCTATATATTATATATTCGATAATATATCGACTGTTTGTCGAATCGTGGACCCTGTGTGTTATACGGTGTTAGTCGTCATAGTGTCCAGTCTGCTTTATACGCTGCGTATACTTCGCAATAATATGGTAAATGTAATATTGTTACAAATAAATATTTTGCATATCTATAATACCTATAAATCTCATATCAATCATTACTATAAGCCATAGTACAGTCCATCAAGAGTAAAACCTATTTATTTATTACCGGCATATTCCCGGTAACTGTGCTTATTTTGGAGAATGAAGCATAGTCTTTTTAGGAGTACGTTTTCCAAAATTGTGCATAGAATGGGAAGTAAACTTACAAGTCGGTAAGACGTAGATAAGTGTTTAGGTTTATTTGGTTTGGGCATGTGTAAAATGATATCAAATTTTTGTGAAGTGCAGTAATCTTATCTGCATATTTTGAATTTTTCAAGGGTTTTTGACGTTAAAGGGTATTTTTTAAAGTTTGTAGGTCAATTATTAATTTATTTCTATTATTATTATGAATAAAAATAAAAATATAATATATAAATACCCATATTATTGTGCTACAACATCATTAAGTAATCGAGGTATAAATAACACGATTTACAAATTTATGTTAATGTCACACATTAGTCTATGACCAACAATTATACAGGATGATTTTTTAATCATGCTCACCCTATTTTTAAGCTTAAATCATGCATGTATTCTAATCTCGATTTTTGGAAATCTAAGTCCTATTCAAACTAGTTAAATTTAATATTTTGTTCAATATTTATTAAATTATTTTAATTTTATTTAAACAATTGTTTTTTAGAATAGTATGCGTAGCATAAGTTCTGAAGAGGAATTTACAGTAAATGACAAATGGCAATCAGTATTTGGTGTGGTCACTAGTAAAGAATTACGATTGTATGAAGTTGCCCCCTGGAGTCCAGATGCCTGGTCTGCTCCACTCTTTGTTTGTTCACTTTTATCTACAAGGCTGATGAACTCATCTCGTAACTCAGATTTAATCACATTTAGCTTAAGATGTGGAACAGAAGAAGGTATCATAACTCATCGGTTTAAAGTTGATACTCAAAGAGATCTTGCCAGTTGGGCAAGAGCTGTAATTCAAGGTTGCCATAATTCTGTTGCTATCAGAAGAGAAGTAAATCGTCGTAAGTACAAAATATATTCAATATTTTTTGTTGGCATAGAAAAAAAAATTAGATCATTAATTCACATTACAGTTAAAAAGTGTAATGTTTATACTACTATTCATGTATATATTATTCTAAACAGGTTGTTTATGGCATGGGAAGCCAGCACAACTATCAATTCACTACGAGAATGGATTTACACTCATTGAATCAAAAACTGGGTCTGTAGGCCGTGAACCAAAAAAGTTATGGAGTTATCCTTTTGATAAATTAAAAATGTCTTCTGATGATAATAACCGATTACTGTGGCTGGACTTCGGGGATAGTGTAGATATAGTAAGTATTAATTAATGATAAAATAGATTATATTTATTTATTTTAAGGTGTTATGTTTAGTTTTGAAATAATTAATACTAGAACTGTTAACAGAACAACAATAATGTATGTTTATTAACTTTAATTACAGTTAGTTATTTCTTATAAGTTCATAACAATGTTATGTATGAGGTCTATTGTTGATTGGCTTATCAGCGACATGCATTTTTGGCCAAAACCTATTTGGCAGTGCACAGCCAACTAAGCACTTTGATAAGAGTTTTTGTCTTAGTTATACTTTTCTTTAATTTAAAAACATTGTTACAATGTGATTTAGTCACTATTCTTTAAAGAATTATTCTTAGTTATATAACACAAATAGTTCCCAATACAAGACCTCAATGAATGAAGAATATAGTCATAAGAACTGAATTGTGTAGCTATCTATTTAAGTTAATATTTCAGATGATAAAGTATAAGATAATATTTTAGATGATAAAATAAATCTACTGAGTCTAATTATTTATTTATTAATCCAGGTTTTTTGTACCTAACCAAATTAATTTAAATTTTTTTATTTTAGGAATTAGACTTGGAGTGTAGTCCAAAACCATTAGTGTTCATTTTACATAACTTCCTATCAGCCAAAATCCATCGGCTTGGTTTGTATGCATAACTGATAATATGCTTTAAATTAAACGGATAAAATTCAATTTATCAATAATTTTCATGCTATTTGAATAAAACTAATAATTAATCCACTGACTATTAAAATCAATATTAATATTTGTTATATTTGCATTTATTGACCCTAAACTTTAAGCTCAACAACAATTACATATTTATTAATTTTAATGTAGAATGCAAATTTATTATTTAGTTATGTTGAACTTAATTATTATTGGTAGTGGAATGTTATGTTTATTAAAGTAAACATTTTAATGTATATGTATTTTTTAAATTAATACTATGTAATAATAAACTTAAATTAATTTCAAAGTAACAGGGTGCTGTGGCACCATAACATGCACACACATTCCTACACTTGAAATATGGTAACTTGTCTGTGATAATTCGTTTTTATTTCGTTAAAAATGTAAATGCTATTGTGTATATGTGTGTATGTTAGTGTGTCTATGTGTCAAATTTGTTTTTATCAAAATAACAGTGTCAATTTTTATTTGGGGTTTAAGAATCACAAATAATTTCTAGTTAATGTTTTTTTTTTAATATTATAAAACATTGATAATTATTTTATTTGTATGTACATATTATTATGAGTTAATTTTATTATTAATATTGACTGGTGTTAAAAATTGTCTTTTATCGTATCATTATTTTGATTACATGTAGTCATTGCACTTATAACTTGTCTACTATAAATGAGTCAAATTCAACATTTATTAATTAATTTAATATAACAATCAAGCTTTTATTTTTGGCATCCTTATTAATCACAACACGACTAACATATATTATATTATAGGTAATTATTATATAATTTATGGTAGTACAAATTTGTTATACCATAAAATGGTAAATAAGTTAGTTGGATTGTTTTTTTTTTATTATTATTGGTTAAGATTTTTTTTTATTGATGTATAAAATAATAACTTAAGTATTGTTTGTTAATCTTTAATTTAATTACATTTTTTAGATTTTTTAATTATTTGTATGTTTTATATCAACTATAGTTTAATCAATTTTTTACAATTCTAACAAAATATACTGATTTGTTAAATAATGTAGTCAATTGACAAACAGAAGTAAATACAGCATTTGGAAGTTGATGTTTTTCATTAAAAAGAAACTATAGCTTTATTTATTTATGATACAGTGTTTGCACTCAAGCTATCAATTTTGGAAGATAAAAATTTGATTAAGACATAGTTAGTTTTCAGTAAGGATAGAGTTTTGGGGAATTATATATTACAACCAATGCCGTAGCCAAAGGTGGTTAGGGTTTGACCTCCCCCTGAATTTTTTTTTTTTGAAATAGGACTTAATTATTTTTTTATAAAGATAAATTTATGTAGATAAATTAAATTTCCCCTAAATATTTTTCTGGCTATGGCCTTGATTACAACTACATTGAATTTATAAGTATGGACATTTTCATATTAACTCTAAACAATTAACTTATTTTTAAATGATCAGTTAATTGAACATGAGTTAAAATTCAACTGATACTGAGTAGTATGATCCTAAATGTTCAAGAGGAAATTCATTTTAAAAAAAAAATGTTTGGAATTTGTATTATAACTTATTTTATTATAAAATATGTTATGTAAGCATAATTGCATTATCATCTAAATTTAATACAGTACAACCCACACTTTCAGAAATGGTTATTCCGCCTGTGTCATCAACATATCCTTGTGCAGTATCATCATCGTCAGTCATTTCAGCTTTTGACTCTTGACATTTTACAAGACTAGGTTCTAGACCTGACAAGTATCAGAACATAGTTAAAATATGAAGACAATACAATGTTGTGAATAGTTTACCATTTTGAACTTGTGTTTCATGACCAGATACATGGTCATTGTATCTTTTTAAGCTCACAGTTCCAAATGTGCACCGATTACATGAGTAGTATGAACTGTCCATTTTATCTCGATGATTATTCGTTATATGACTTTTGAGAGCAGTCACTTGGATACAGTCATATTCACAATGAGAACATTTGTATGGCCTTACATTTGAGTGACGTAGTTTATGACGTCTGAGTGAGTTGTGATCCCCTAAACATTAAAAAAAATAAGAGATTTTTTGTTTCATGATGAGATCATTTTATTTATTACCAGTTTTAAAATTACAATCCGGAGCATCACAATTAAATGGTTTTTCACCCGTATGCTGCCTCATGTGTACTTGCATCATGTATTTAGTTGCTGAACCATGATTGCACACTTGACATACATATGGCTTTAACTTCAGATGAACATTTTTTGTATGAAGTTTTAAACTTTTTGAATTAGCCAATACCATATTACAAATTACACATGTCTTTTCCATATACCTATGAGAATATTTTCTAAATCAAACTATAAATCTAAGTATAGGCGAACCTAGAGTTCCACATTTAAGTGTGCCTTGGCTTTTTTGTAATAAAGAGAGGATGCTATAAACAAATTCACCCACTTGATGCATTTTTAAAATTATTATCATAATTCTCGTAATTATATGAAATACAGTGGATTCCACTTAATGTGGGCACGTTGGGACCAGCCCTGTTTGCCCACATTAAGCGGTTGCCCATAAAAACCGAATTAACATTGTTATTAAACATTTTTATTGGGACCAGCCCTGTTTGCCCACAACAAGCGGATGCCCATATTAACCGGTGCCCACAATAAGCGGATTCCACTGTATACTTAAGTTGAAATATTTTTCTAGAAAAAGCAATATTTTTTCGAAATAGTTACAACTTACAACTGAAATCTAAAAATTCTGATATTGTTAATAATTTTAAATTTTAAAATAACGATTGGCACAAATACATAGGTACTGCAGTCTGCAATTATTATTTAAAGACTTATTCTAGAGACTAAATACATGTAGTTTTATTTACAAAAACCTAAAATTCAATTGATGTGTATTAATTATTTTATGTAGGTATATTATAAACTAGTTATTTTCAGTTTACATATTAGGGCGTACCTTGGCACACAAGCCCTCCCTCCCTCCTATGAATCTAAGAGCTTGAAAACCAAAATAGTATACTATTACCATCTTTCTTTATTTACAGACTTGGCTTTGGAATGAAATACTCTATGATTTTGTAGCTTAATCGAATCTTCAAATTCAGCACCACAGTCTACACAAGACAATGTTTTAATGTGTTTCATTGATACGTGATTAACTAAATTATGATATGTTGTAGTTGTATATTTTTTACAAACCTATCGAAAAAAAAAATATTAGTTAATACATTGTTCATATAATACAAATTAATAAAGAGTCAACATGATTAAAAAAGCAATTTTTAAATGCAATACTATTGACTAGATAGGAATAAAAATCAAATGAGTAGGTTAGATTAGATCAATTTTCATGACTCCCAAGAGGCAAGAGTTATATGGGAACAATTCTGAGATAATCACTATAAATCGCTGAATAATCAGTGGCAGTCAAATGATTTTGTCAAGGGGGGGAGGGAGGGAGATATGGCTGATTTTTAAAAATGCACTATTTGACTATTAAATAATAAACTGTTTGTTCACAGAAATATAGAACACTATAACTTGGTATCGTATGCATTTAGTTTTGAATTTGGTGTGAGGAATATGAAAGTAAACTACTGAGCCATCAATTACCGTGACTAAAAATGTTAACTATTATATTGTGCACGAGCATAACACAGTTTACGATAATAAGATTTTGAGGAGCCTTGAATGTATTGATTTTACAATGTTTTTTTTTGATTGTCTGTCATTACATTTTAGGATAGAAAAATTTGATTTTCTACTCCAGCGTCTTTTCTGGCAGGAAAGTGAATCATACATTAGGCGGGGAGGGGAGTCCAAAGTTAAAATCCCCAGTATTTTTCAAGAATATCGGGAAAAACAAAATAAAAATTAAATATTATATTAAAATTAGATTTGTTCAAAATATTCTTATTTGTAAATTAACATACTTGACAGCTAAACATATCAATGTCAATTTTATGAACCTTCCATAAATGTATACGACAAGCATTCCATCTTGGTGTAATAAAATCACAATTTTTTTCACTACATTTGTAATCTTTACAATCATTTTGGTGACATAATGAATGAAGCACTTTAGAATTTTCAGAACGAAATTTACGTTTACAATGCACACACCTAAAACAGTTACCATTTGTATTTTATTCAGATAAGCAAAATATGAAAAAAAACCTTTAACTTACTTTGAAACATACTCTATATCTTCAAATTTTTTTTTACTCAATTGAATACTTTTACAACCATGTTTTTGTTGTTCATTTTGATTATTTTTTGAAGTATTTATCAAATGCTGAAAAAAATTTAAAAATAGATACTCATAAGTCATAATTTAAATTAGTAAAATTACTTCTTTAAATAACATATTCTATGGCAAACTTGAAACAAAAATTAGAAATTATTTAAATAATTGTCAAATGAAACATTTAATATAAAAAAATATAATTTTTAAATATGTATAGATATATGATTGTAAGGTTTAAATAAGCATGTAATACAAAATCAAATTTTATTTTTAATTACTTGTGTCATGTGTTCTTTACATTTATCAAGTGTATTAAAAGTAGTTTTACACAACGTACAAGAAAATACTTCTATTGTTCTAGTTGTATTTGATGTACCACTATTGACCTTAGTTTCTAGTTGATTTTTAGTCTACAAAAAATAGTTAATTTAATTAATAAAGTGTTAATTATAACATTATTATTCATAAAGGTACTTCGTGTTTTTCTCTAAGATGCACAATTAAATTTTGTTTTCGAAATGTTAAGTATTCACAATGCAAACATTTGAAACGAATTCTTCCTTTTTTTTTTTGATTTTTTCTTAAGTATGGTATATTATTTTCTGGTGTATAGTTAGAGTGTAATTTCACATTGGAATCAATATTTAAAGTGTTACTATCATTATTTTGATTTGAATTTTCTGGAACTACTGCACCTGTTCAAAATACACAAACACATTAATGCTTAAAAATTAAAAATAATTATTATTAACATTCTTAAACTTGTTGTTAAAATAAAAATCTACATATAAACACAGAATAATATTATATTATAGTAGTTTTCTATATAATAAGTAATAACTATGGCTCAGATTTGTATGCTAAAAATAGCGTATAGAAGAATATGTAAAGATTAGGTATCCATAGTTTGCATAATATTGTTTCTGTATAATAATACTTAGAAAATTGTGAGATGTACAAATTTTAGGGTAGTTTTAATTTTTTATGATGAATAAATTGTAATGGCAATAGTAGTCAATTATAAATGTAGTTTTGTACAAAACTATATTTGTTGGATGATTTAATTAATGAATCACAATATAATTATTAATACAATATAAGTAGATACAACTTACAATTTAATAATATTTGTTTATTATTCAAAATAATCAATGGTAATGAAAAATTAGACTTATCCATGTCAATAAAAATGAAATCACTAGATTTTTGAAACCAAGATAAATTAACACAATTTATGTTTTATTAACACTTGTAAAATAAAATTAATATTCACTAAAATAATTTTTAATTCAAATTGAATATGAATCTTTAAATAATTTAAAAATAGATATTAATATAATGATTTAAGGGTATAATGAATTAACATTATATGCCATAATGCATGGTGAGTACAACTGTACTATGTAAACATTACAATATATAACATTAAATCGAATCTATTATTAAGGGGTAAAAAATTAGTGCCGAGGATGGTACACATTCCAATTCCAAACACTTAACACAAACTACAAAGCTTTAACTCTTTAATGTTCATTTGGAAACTTATTGCTTTAATAAAAATGTCATGGCTGCCTTATCAGATAGTAGATACCGGTGGGCAACCAGTATAATATTATCACAGAATTAATCTATTCCATAGCCATGATCTATTCTCAGTTCTGTGATATTACATTTTTTCTGAAAAAAATGGTCTTTAATAGGTCTGTGGAGTATGGACCACGGATTAAGATATATTAATTATAGTATATTATATTAATTCCTGCTACGGGCACAACATTCTGTCCCCCATAAAGACCTATTTTAAATTCAAAAGGTGTCTCTGGGTATAATAGTGTTTGAAATCAGTGGAGAAATGGCAGTAATCTACTTGGTGAACCACCTAGACATCCATGATCCAAATGACACAACCAGAGGGCGCATGTGAGTTCATGTGCGTGTTTAATGTTTGTGACTTGAGTGCGCCTGGCGTCCCCACCGGCCACCATAATATATTTAACCATTAACCATGGTATCTACAATCTGCAATTCACAAGTAGGTTCTGCTTTGCGTTTATCATATATTTAAACAACAAACAGTATCCAAGATCTTACCCTGGTTTGTTTAAATAATATTAAATTTTGTTTCATTTTGAAAGAATTATGATTAATCACACGAACAACAGCTTTGAACAGTTTAAATTGCATGCAAAAAGCTACTAACTATTCCATTAGTGCTTATTCTGTAGGTGGTCATTGGCTTCCAAAGCTTGTGTTTACATTGTAATTTCTTAGTAATTTACCCGTCTGTGCAACAAACAGTTTTGCATTTTCAAAAAGCTTAACTATGCCGACATGGAACCAAATTCAAAGTCAATTAAGAAACCCACAGAATCCTGTTGTGTTCTTTGATATATCTGTTGGAAGAACAGTAAGTGTATATAAATATCTTTATAATTTTAGCTTGTAGAAGTACTCAGCTATTCATTGGAAAAATTAATTTCATTTTATATTGATGTTAAAATTTGTATATTTTTTTTTAATATCTATCTTATTTTTTTATTTCTTTATCATAAATTTTGATCTACTAGCACTTGCTAAATTATAAATTGTATGGTATTTGGCATTGTTGGTAAATTATCACAACAGAAACTTAACATTACATCACTATATTTTTATCTTTTAAAGTCTGATATTTTGTTCTTAAAACTCATCTCAATTATGAATTATTAACTATGACATTAAAATCTGTTGAAAACTTGAGATAAATTATCAACATTAATAAGAATTCATTGAGTCTGTGTGATTTCCATACATTTTTAATTTTATAAGAACTTACTAAGTTTAAAGTTTCACAGTTAAATCAATTGATGTTTTTTATAGGAAATCGGTAGATTAATAATGGAACTGTATGCTGACATTGTGCCTAAAACCAGTGAAAATTTTCGTCAATTTTGTACTGGTGAACACAAAAAAGATGGAATACCGTTCGGTTATAAAGGATGTTGTTTTCACAGGATAATTAAAGATTTCATGATACAAGGTGGTGATTTTGTAAATGTAGGTTTAGATTTTTAAATAATAAATACTTCATTTGAGTGAATCAATATTCTGTATAACAATTCCTAATTATTTTTCTACTAGGGTGATGGTACTGGGGTTATGAGTATATATGGAGCAGATACATTCTCAGATGAAAATTTTAAACTTAACCATGATGCACCTGGACTTTTATCCATGGTAAGTAAATAATGTTATAATTGTTTACAAAATGTATAAATAATTTTTTATATTCTGTACAATAGGCAAACAGTGGTATTGATACCAACGGGTGTCAGTTTTTTATAACTTGTGCAAACTGCAACTTTTTGGATGGAAAACATGTGGTATTCGGTCGTGTCATTGATGGGTTGTTGGTAATGAGAAAAATTGAAAATGTTCCTACTGGTCCCAATAACAAGCCAAAAATACCTATTGTTATTTCCCAATGTGGACAGTTATAAAAGCTTTGAGTTGTACTATTTTTATACAAACTTTATGTCATTCATTTGTATGCAAACATATTAAAAAAATATATATTGTGAGCAATATGGTAAATATTTTTGTTAAGTATTATAACCTTAATATTAACGAGTCTGTGAGTTTAATTTTTTTAAATAGGTGACGTGGTTATTGATTGCACTGCAATGCAAATGAGAAATCTACATACACATAGTCAGAAAAAACATTAGATTCATAAGATTATTATAGGTTCTAGATATTTGTACTAAAAACAATTACAATAATTAATTCTTAAAATATTAATCTTTTTATTAATTAACTGATCAAGATTATTTTTTATTTTTTAAAATTAAATCAACATAGTTATTCATACATTCCTTAACCTTATCTACAGATTCTGAAGTCCCATACTTTCCTTCCAACATCATCCACTTATTAAACAAACTTTTCATCTTTTTTGGAGCTAATTTTTGGATTGTTGCTCTTTCTAAAGCATGTCTAAATTAATACAAATTAATTTTATATTATTAACAGGCCAATTTTGTTGGACATTAGTAAAACTTTAATCTTGGTTAGAATTAAAGTATTCTTACCTTGCCAAATCTATTCTATTAGATTTGATCAACATATCTACATATATACTCCATACATCAATACGTGACGGATAGGATGTTAGGACATGTTCAAAAAGTGTTTGCGCTTCTTCTGGTGATCCATCGCTATTTTCAACCAAAGCAAATCGACTTATCATAGTGACATCTTAAAAAAAAAATATATATATATAAAATGTAATTAATATATTATTATAGAATCGAATGATAATATCTATGTTGTAGGTAATTTTTAATATTTGTATTTTATTCATAAATCATAAACCAGTTGGTCCATTAGTTGACTCATTAATTCAAAAAGTAATGATGTTTTTGAAAATAATTTTTACATGGTTTTGTCAGTAAAAAGGTTTATTTTTAAAATGTGATGTGTGTATAGTGCTTTCTGATTACCTCGCAAAATGTTGGTCCACTATCCACCTCATCCAAACTTTTAATATTTATAACTCATATACAATAGCAATTCAGTTTAAAGTCACTGTCAAAACTGGGACTATAATGTTCAACAGACATTTTGCAATAAACTACAAAAACACTTATCTGTACCCCAAGCTACTCTTCAGTCACTGACTTATTTATATTAAAAATGATTCTATACACTTGATAGGCACTGCAAAGAGTTTGTAACCATCGCCTTATTAACTATTTTTTTAAGACTGCTAACAGCGTTACAGTTAATCGAGTTTCTATAATACCTATCAAAATATGAAGAAATATACTTTTCTTTAAATATGAAACTTAAACTTCAAGTTGTTATTAAAAACAGAAATAATTAAAAAATTATGTTTGGTAACAACAAGAAACCATGTAAACATTTAAATATTATCTCATTTTTAATTGAAAACTGAAGTTTCTCACCAATGGTGTGACGAATGGGGTTAATGGTATTCAAAAAGTATTTTTGAGGGTGGAGGGTAGTTAAAATGGCCAATAGGTGATTATTTAGTATTTATCATAGTATTTCAGTAATAACTATGTCAATTGATATGAGTATACGACAATGAATGCCTTTATTGTGGTGTTGGTGCTGCAGGTTGAGTGAAATACTTGACTAGCCTCTAAAAACCTCAAGTTAACCAAGCCACTGTTCCTCGCTCACTAAATTACATTTTATAAGTGTTTTTTGTTTTTATTTATCATATGAATTTTACTATACTATTATTTAATATATAAATTAGTATACGTGATTTGGTCGGAAGATTTGATAGTGCTTTTTGTAAAATAAATCTTGCTTTGCCAGATTTATTTAGTTTGAAGTACACAGTGGCACAATGTAGATACGCATCAAGAGAATCACGAAACTTTCTATTTATTTTTGTAATTAATTCTTCTAGTTCCTAAATAAAACAAAAGTATTCAAAATAATGTTTATTAAAGAGCTAGGTACGTGTTTGTTATTGCCCTGCACCCAAATTATATACAATTTACAAGCAAACTTACGTCAGCAGTCTTGGCCTAATCTAAAACTACAATATTTCTCTGCACTACTTTATCTAACTTTTAAGTTGGTTTGCTATCTATTTATGGAAAAGGGGTAAAATATATTTATAATATTTTAAATTCTAATCTTATTACATTATGATTACTTATATATAACTTATAAACATTATTAGCTTATTATTAATTATATTAAAAATTAATTTAAATTATTTCCCGTAATATTCAATACTGGCATTTAATTTTTCAAAAAATGTATGACATTCAAGGATCTTTATAAAACTGTTTTATTTATTTACGTGTAATTATGAGATATTAAAAAAAATATTAACAAAGCTTCTATTAATTGCAAATAATTTATTATTATTAGCTTTTGTACATACATTTATAGAGAATAACAATTATAAATCAAATTTAAAAACTAATATATATTTATTTACTTCTATTTGAAAATTTCGTAACACTATACAAAAATATACAGACAGTCAAAATAGTGGCGGGGTGTTAAAATTTATATGGTGGGGTTGTTGGGCAATAACAAATAAATACTAAGAAGAATTTTGTTATTAATTATTATCAAACTGTACTTTTAATTTATTTGATTCAGCAAATATATCCAATATTTTTATGTAAATCTGATACTCATCATTTGAACGTAATGCTTCATCCATTGTTTGTTTAAATGATTCCTAAAATATAACAATATTTAAAGGATAAATATTAATGATATTATTAAAAAATTACTTCCAAAGCCATATCAACATATCGACATTTCAAATACCTACGAATGAATATGTGTGTACTCAATTTGGTCCCCAATATGAAGCAGTTATTAATACATTAATATATTATTTACAACCACTACAGTAAAATAAATCCAATCTTTTAATATTTTTACCTTAGTGCCATATAAATTTTCTAAATTTAAAAGTGCAGTCCAAATATTTAGTTTTTCTTGTTCTTCTTTAGTATCAATTATAGACAATGCTCTTTTTGCTGTTGCCCTTGCTTTTTCTACTTCAGTAGCCTATAAATTAAAATAATGTTTAATCACATTTCACAATTCTTGAAATAAGGGGACTAATCTAAGAAAAATTGTAATGAGGTGTTGTAATAATTTTACTGGTGATATAATCATCAGTTATACAATGCTACATTTGATAAGTTATGTTTTAAGTTTAAACATTATAAAATTACATTTACTATGGTTAAGAGTCAGAAGTGTAGATCTATGAATCAATCAAATATTTTAATTATTGTAAAATTAAATTAATTATTACTTGTAAATGGCATGCCATGTATTTAATCCAAATAAACGAACTATTGGGATTAGACAACACTAATCGGTCAAAATGATCCGCATTTTGTGGATTTGTTTCAATTTGCGTTAATTCTGCTTCAACTTTTCTAAGTCTTAGTTCTTCTTGTTTTTGTTCTTCAAGACGTTGAGAGTTATTTATCTTTCGTATTTTTTTTTTACTCGGTTCATTGTCTTCATCCTAAAATTTAATATAAAGGTAGTAAGAATCTTACAGAGTGATTCCTTTATACCTAATATCTATTCATAAATTAACAAACTGTACTTAGTTGTCTTACTTTGTCAGAATCTTCCGATTCACTGTTGTTTTTATTGAAATAATTAGGAGTGACATCCCATTCAAATCCAATACCCTCGCTGGTTAAAATTTGTCTCTTGTTATGTATAGTTTTTTTGCTCATTTTTGGACGAGATAGTTTGAAAATAAAAATAAAAATTTGTTAATCTTGAAAAAACGTGTTCAGACTTTGTTTTCGGTAGTTCGGTTAATGACATCACGGGTAGTAATGATAACAGGTAATCTATTTATTTACAAGTTAAAGTAGTTAGATAAGAAGTACTGTCGTGGTATGGCGAGTTACCATGGTTATCTACGGTAGAGGCCAAGTTCTTCCAAAATATTATTATTGTCGCAATGTCTCTTTTCTATGCGCAATGTACAATAAATTCTTCTAATTTTCTGACAAAAGTTAATTTTTAATAATTTCTATACACATTATTTACAAATTTAATTGGGTGATTGAATAATCATTAATCAGGACCAGAGTGCGGACCACGGCTTTAGACACTATTTAAAGCCGTGGTGCGGACTGAGATGTAATAAAACGTTTGTTCTATGATAAAACTATATTTTCAATTTTGGTATGGAAATAAGTGTATTACCATAGATCTATAAAATAATGGACCATGCATATCATACCCTGTATAGTATGTCATTGGGAAACCAAAATATTCTAATAATAATTAATAATTAAAAAATAATTAAAGAATTCAAAATTATCGTTGTTTGTTGTTACAGATGAATTAATTTCCAATTCAAATAATTTTATCCCTCAAAGGCTCAAACCAAAAAACCAAGTTTTTTTATAATCATTTCACTCGCAACTTGTAAAAGTGCAAAGGCTTGCATTAAATATTAATTTAAATTGTTATTGATATTTATGTTATAAAATATACATATAGTGGCGTTCGTATCCGAGCAGTTCTATTTCACTACCAAATTCTATTACCACACGATGTATAATAAATGTACCATGTAGAATCCCTGTTTTAATATAATATTATTCAATGATAGATACACTCTTTTATTATATTGTTTATTGTGTTTATTGTCTATTATTCCCGAATTCATTTCATATTTTTAGACTGAGGTAATCGGTATTTGGAAACTTGACATTTCCCACTTATATAAAAAATAATAGATTGGAAAATAGGTTCCTTAGTTTTACCCTACGTCAAAAATATGTGATCATCTATTGACTATCAACATTCACTTCATGCATTTACTAGATAATTACCAAATTTAAAGGATAATTGATAAACCAAAACATGTAAAAGTATTATTGAATTATATGTATACATTAATTCAACAATTTGTTTAATTTATTATTTCATGAAGAATCTTCGTGGTTCCTACATTTATGTATTTTGTTTAATATTTGTATTAGTGAATTTTGTATTGGCAATAGCGTTATTATAACGTATTAATGATTTCTATTAATATTTTAATACTTATTTAATAATATTACTAACTTTATCATTCATAAA